ATAAACAGTAATATTATTTTAGACACCCACATCGCATATATATATATATATATATATATATATATATATATATATGTGTGTGTGTGTGTGTGTGTGTGTGTGCGTATATATATAGTTAATGATATTATTTGGTAATCATTTTGGATAATTCCAAAGAGGATATAATCCAGAGAGCTCAATGTAAAAAACAGAGCAAACATTGATTATTATTAAGAAAAGACAATTTCCATACAAAAACATATATATATATATATATATATATATATATATATATATGTGTGTGTGTGTGTGTGTGTGAAATAGTCGATCTGATAAATATATATATCGTGAGATACCTTCAAGATATAAATAGATACATACATATGTCTGTATATATCGACATACGTAAGTCCTTGTCATATTCCTATAATAATAATAATAATAATAATAATGATAATGATTATTATTATTATTTCGCAAAGCAAGCATTTTGCAAAATAATCATTTCCCTTGTCAATGTTCTTAATCTTGAATGATGGACAATAGGCATATAAATTTAACATTACACAATGAAAATTTCAAACCAAAATAACTTGTCAAAATATAGTCTTGCATATATACAAACATACATTTCTGTGTAAACATTTTACCCCAAGCAAGGCCATAAAGCCACTAAGAGGCAGTCGGTTACTCTGTGAAAATACGAGAAAAGAAAACATTGAAAACCATGAAAAACATTGAAAACCATGAAAAACAGGTATTTAGACGATAGAAAATAACGATTGACAATGCATTTACATTTTAGATCAAAGTTTACTGGAAGACAGTTTAGCAAGTGAGATTTGCAATTTTAAGTGTCCTTGTATGCACTTCCGTTAGGGCCTCCTGAGGCCACCTTATGCGTTTGTCTTGGACACATGCTGGTTGTTTGTATTGCCATAGACGATAAATAGTAATAATTATTTTTGTATTTTTCTTCTTAAAAACAAATCTTCTTATGACAGTTGCTTAAATAAATCACACACACATACATACATATATATATATATATATATATATATATATATATATATATATATATGATTATTTTCTTGGTAAAGACGGTTACCTTAATGTAGTGGATCTTCCAAGAATCAGTTTGAGCGATCCTGACATTGAAGGTCAGTGAGATCTTGCAGAATTCATTTTTTTTAGACAGACCTAACAGAACAAAGAACACTGTTCTCTAAGACAGTGGTTCCTAACAGCAAAAAAGAAAAGAGACTGACAGGGAGAGGGAAAAGAGACCGCTCACCGCGACGCGAAAATGAAGACAACCGTTGGACTGCGCGCCTGCTCAACACGCTTTAACTGCTTCACACGTCTACAGTAGAAAGTTACAACCAGAATAAAATTTGCTTACTGCTATAGTGTCGTGGTTTAATTTCGTGGGTAGAGATCTGGCCAAAGAGTTATTTTCTACGGAACAAAATGTTGATTGGAAGAAGCTTCACCCTTAGAACGAATCTGGTGTCTTCTCTGAGCTGCAACGCTACAATAATCTCTGTAATCATTCTCACCACAGTTCGTCTATTAAATTCATCGTGAGCAGTTTTCCTTTCCTAGTTTTTCCTTTCTGTTTATCATCGTTCTAATCTTTTTCCTCGCTTTTATCACTTTTTGTACTTCCATTGATATCTTCACAACCCTTTTGATATTTTAAACGTCGTGTCCCACCGTGGCGCATAAGGTGATCGCGACTTCACAGAATCGCTTTCTTTATTATCTGCGAATGGTCATGACTTATTTTTTGTGGGAGGTTGGGGGTCTAGTGGAATAGTTTTCTATTCATTTCTCTATGATTTGGAATTCTCCTACAGGTTGCCGCCAAACGCTAAAGAACCCATGAAACATTTGTCATTTAGCCCTTAATTGGGTAGTTGGGGTAAAGAAAATGATTCGTGCCTTTTACAAAGTGAAAACACAGACCAGACCGGAGCTTGAACTCGACTCTCCGAGTCCATTTTACGAGACGGTAGTCGTTACACAACCTGCATATATTCGATTTTCAATTTTTCTTTTTTCCGAACTCCATGCTGTGTTTTCAAACTCGGAGTAACTGATGGTTTTTACTGGGCACTAAGTGACAGCAAGACTCCTCAGTACCCCAGCACTTTTTTTTCAGTATTCTATCAGTCTTTAGTGGTGCTGTTTTCTTCAAGATCTCGATATTTCCTGGAAGTTTCCAACTTCTCCTGAAATTTCGGTAGACTTTTCGGAATGTTTCCTTGCACAAAAGGAACAACGGGTAGAAATATTATTTTCATTATCTATAAGTTTTTTTAAATTTTTTTGTTTATTTTTTTATTTTATTTTTTGTTACCGAGGTCGAGATATTTCTTCTATTTTTCGTACTTTGGTTTCATCGCGTTGAGGAGGCACAGACATAGCGACTCGGATTGAAGGAAGCGGAGAGTCGAGTTCGAATTCCAGTCGAATCCATTATTTTCACTTACATTCCAATACCCTTGGGAAAGGTATGAATCCTCTTCTTCTCCCCCCCCTCCCTACCAGCTTGGAGTAAAGGACAGATCGGGTTCTCTAGCCCTGGACGGTAACTGGTCTACCGCAGAAAGAAATAGCAACCTACTGCGAGAAAGATTTGCCTCGTCAGTCATGTATCGAAAGGTACATGATCGTTTAAGCGTGTGTATCACGCATGGCACATAAGTGGCTGATACCCATGTTTTATTTCATTATTGTTTGGAATTTGGGCTTTCTGATTTCAAATATGACGGTTGAATCGCCTACAGAACTAGAAATTCTAAGTCGTGTTGGATGGAAGTAATAGTAATTCCAATTTGATAAAGCCTTAAAAAAAACAGTCAATACGCTTTTGCCGTTTTTATTTAAAGTAAGGTTGAGACTTGAAGATTTCAACTTAAAGATTTTATTTTGCTACATGTATTTACAAACATTTATATTTAGAGGAATCATACCTTTCTCAAGGGTATTTGCACGTAAGTTAATGTAATGGATTCGACTGAAATTCTAGCCGAGTTCGAATTCCATTTGAATCCATTACATTCACTTACGTGTTAATACCCTTGGGGAAGGTATGAAACCTCTTCTTCTTCAACCCCACCCCCTCCAGGTGTGGGTAAATAGCAGGATAGATCGGGTTCTATAGCTTTGGATGGTAACAGTTCTATCTCAAAAAGAAATGGCAACTTACTACGGAAAAAAATCTGCCTCCCCAGTCACGTACTGAAAGATAAATAATCGCCGAAGCGTGTATTACACATGACACATGGCTGACTATTTTGTTGGGGGACCAAAAACCTGTCCTTTTTCACAATAATTAATCTACTGTTCTGTATTAGTTGATATCTTAGAATCTGGAATAGACAAAGTAATTTTCATTCCATAAGACATATTATGGATTGTGAATATTATATTTTTAATATTTACTACATACGGCTGAGTAGAATGCAAAGACTAATTGTAGGAAAAATTAGACGGGGAATATGTTTTCTCTCCTTTATCCGATTAATGGACGCCTGCTTGGCTTAAAAATCAACATTGAAAATCTGACCTTTTGTCTCCGCACGAACACATTTATGCACCGGTTTTAACGAGTTCAATTCCGAGTTGGGCCCATTATAATATTTTTCTTTTATTTTAAATATATCAGAGAGGGAAAAAATGTTAGCTATGAAATTTTACCACAACCGAAAAATTGTTTTTAAAGAACTTCACAACCCGAGATTAAAATATACAATTCTTTCAAATGACAAGTAAATATGTTATGGAACCGCGAAGTTCGATGCTAATTCCATGCTCTAGATTTCTAGTATCCTGCTGTATTTTCATCTAAGATCATGGCTCTCCACAACTTCCTATAATTCTTATCAGTCCTAGCAACGTTGTCTTTTTACCATCCTTCCTACCATCTTTGGCGTGCTGTATCAAAAAACTTCTTTTTCATTTGATATGCCTTATGAGTGACAAATTATCTAAACGCAACGGAGGCACTCTTCTGTACTAAATATTTTATAAATATCCATATTTCTTTTTAAAAAGTTTATTTTTTTCATATATTAAGAAACTTGTCCCAACTGTCTAGAATTTGTTACTCTCTCTCACACTCACACACTTTTTTTCTCTCTCTCTTGTATTTGACATGTCCTTTTAGTTTGTAGACACATGGATCTCTTGCCCATTTGCAAAATTCAACACCAAACGTTCAAATAGCCATTTACACAAGCTTGTCACAGTCTCCCATTTTTGTTAAATGCGATAGAATTCAGAGGTAACAAAGGTTAATTGTCATTATCGTTTTTTCCAAGAAATTGTATTTATTTACAATGCTTTACTTAGACTGACAATAGAGTAGGTACCTCCAATAATTCACTAAAAATCAGTATAGCTTAATGATAAAAGGCCCCAAACTTAATAAATTTGAAATACCTGACAGTATTTTTTTCCTGGAATTAGAAAATTTAATCCATTAGCTTTCAATTGAATCTGGGGGAAAGCTTAGAAAAGGTTTATCCTTTATGAAAAATACATTTAAAACTTAGGTATACCGAATTTTTGGAGGTACGTACAATAGAGGCTCAAGAGTTCTTACAGTACCTCCTGTTGCGGCATCAGTGCTTAACTTTGTCTGTCCAGTCCTTCCAGTGTAATTTATCCGTATCATATCTCCACACCATCTGGGACCGAAACCGTAGGTTTGTTTTATGAATCTATCTCGTTGACAGCCGCTCTAAACTATGAAAAACTATCAGATGTTTTGAAGTATTTGACGATTTAGTGTAACGTATATTCAAGAGCTTTAATAACGATGTCTTTTTTTCTTCTTCAGTACTTGTGAGATGTCAAACTAGAATATTTTTTCCGCGTCTCATTTAAAAGATGAAGAAGTCCTAAGATAACTGAAGTTTTGGACGAATTGTTTTTATTTATTAAATTTTAGCTTGTTTTCTTCGTGTTATTGTTGATTTTTGTTGCAACGTTCTCGATCGAAAATGTTCTACAAAGCGAATATCAAGAGATGTGAAATGGTGGGAGGAGAAACGAATAACAATGACGACCAGAAGGAAAAAGAATGGTTGAGTGGCAGAAAGAAAACTAGAAAATGCGGGAAAAGAATTAAAAAAAAAATAACTGAAGTGAAAATTCTAAGAAATAAATAAGAGATAAAAAACGATTGTGGGGAAACAGGAAAAAGAAGGACTTGAAAAAAAAAGAGGGAGGGAAATAATTAAAAGAAGTTAAGGAAGAAGATGAAAAAGAAAGAAATGAAAACTATCGGAATAAAAGACGAAGAAGGGGAGGAGAAGAAGTAGGAGAAGGAGGGGGACAAAACAGGAGGAAAAAAGTAAATATTATAGATTATAGGGAAAAAAGAAAATGAAGGCATAGATGAAGAACGGGGGTAAGGTAATGAGAGAAGAGTAAAAAGAAGAAAGAAATGAAAAAGAGGGTATTATATATGAGATATATGAGGGTATTATATATGAGTATATATGTGAGACGAGTAAAAAGAATAAGGTAATGAAACAGAGGGTATCATATACCATAACTATGAATACTAATATATCCCAATCCTAATAAATACGTTGGACACTATTGTAAGTGGGGTAATATGATGTCTACGTAGTCCAATACTAGCAGTGGTTTACCTGCTTCACGCCGCTGGCGAGTATTGTATTTTGTTAATATTATAAAGATTACCATTTCGTTTTCAACCTCCGTTTTGGTTATTCCTCATTCAGTAACCCTTCCTAGGTTACAATATTTTGGTGACGAGGGTGAGATATTGGGAAGTAGGAACTATCGTCAAAAGAATCGGTAGGATGATATATTTAGTCAAAGGACCGAAAATGATGCACAAAGGGCACTTGAATCAAACAAAAATTAGACATAAAGATGAAGACGATGATACTCCAGTGGATGTTGATCCCATTGAAGTTCTTTCCGACACATTTGATGTGCCTATTCCTAGGAAAGCTCCTGAGACCAAAATCCCCAAAAAAAAGACAAAGTAAGAAGAAAAGAAGGAATACAGAGAGAATCGATATGAACGTTTTGGTTATTCCTCATTCAATATCCTTTTTTTTTTTTTGGTTACAACAGAGGGAATAGAAAAAACGAATGAGAACAAAAAAAAAGAAATAGTGCTTTAGGTAATAAAGAAAACAAAGAAATGGGGAAAAAGAAGAGGAAAGAGAAGAAAAAGAAGGAATACATTTGTAAAAAGTAGAAAAACGAAGTGAAGAGAAAAATAATGAAGAAGAAAAACAAGGTACTAGTGATTGTGAGAAAAAAGAAAAGGAAGGAACGGAGAAAGAAGTGAGGTTAACTTAGTAAAAGAAGATGAAAAAGAGGAAGGAATGGAGTAATTGAATGAAGAAAGAGGAGATAAAGGAAGAAGAAACTGATTAGCGTGAGTGGAAAACGAAGGAAAAACGGGAGTGATAGAGTTTAAGAAGAAAATGAAAAAGACACAAATAGAAAGAAGAAGAAGAAGAAGAAGAAAAAGAGGAAGCAAATCTGTTCGAAGAAGACCAAGAGCAGTGGCTGAATAAAGAACACTAAAGTAGTGAAAAAGAACATGAATTATGGAAGAAGAAAACGAATAGAAAGAGAAAAATTAGAAAACAAATAAATGAATCAGGTTAAAAACTAGAAATTTTATAAGAAAAGAAATAAAGTTTATGTGATTGAACTGTTTTACTCGAAAAACGTAGCAATAAATCAAGAATGAATTAAAATAAAATAGAGTATTTGACCAAACAGAGAATTGTACAAAGGTGATCATGGCTAGTGTAATCAAAGGACTTGATTCCATATTTTATAATAGGACATGGTTAAATGCAAACAGCATTTTTATATCCCGAATAGACGTTCCTATCCAGCAAATAATGTTTTGAAATACCCAGGACATTCTTATTCCAACCACTACCGATCATAAATATTCCCAAGAAACTGCAACCCGTACAATACTATTAGGTTGGTGCAAAAATAATGACGTAATAATGTCGTTTTTTGACGTACTTTTCTACGTCAAAAACGACATTCTTACGTCATTATTTTGGCACCAACCTAATATAACATACCATTCTAAATCTTCTCTCAGTCATTATGTTTGTTCAACAGTCATATAAGTTCACTATTCGTTCTATTATAGTGTGGATCAGTTATTGATGATTTTATTTTCTTGTTAAATGATTTTCTTTTTTTTGTTGCATAACTTCATACTGAAGATATTATAATGAATCCAGTAACTTAAGTAAAATATGCTGAAAACATCTAAACATGTGACTTCATCTCTGAAATTGTATAAAATATATAAAGTAAATTCGAGTTACTGAGGTTTGTGATTTGCACAACCTCAGAGGGGCTGTAGTATAAGGTCTCAAACATTGATTCAACTGACCATAACGTGATTATTATCAAATATAATTATCATATATCAGGGCACAATAACGAGATAATTATTAGATATATTGATCATGTATAAGGCAAAAAGGAGAGTTTACTAATCTGCAAAAACACAATAATAAATAATACACGTAGCCGATATATATATATATATATATATATATATATATATATATATATATATATAAACAGC